GGGAGCGGGAGCGGGAGCGGGAGCGGGAGCGGGAGCGGGAGCGGGAGGCTCGGGCAGTGCCCGCCCGGGAGCCGCGGAGAAGGGGCGGACAGGGGCCGCAGGAACTGCCCCGGCGGTGGCGGCCGCGTGTGCCCTGGGAGTCTGTATTTCCTATCAACTTTGAGAAATGAAAGCAGGCAGAAAAATAGGAATTGTTTCGAAGTACTTTGGAGTTAAATCTTCATGTAAATTAGGTCAGAGATTAAGTTGCACTTAGAACGGTTTTAAATTGGTATTGCTGTATGAAAATGTCCTTGCAAAATCCGGATTTTCTGGGTGAATTAACAGCTAAGCATTGCTACAGGCCAGCAGTAGCTAACTAGATCACCTTCTCTAAGAATACTTGAAGTAATTAGAGATGTGGTTTAGCCAAAGCTCAGAAGAAAGTTGTGAATATACCTGGACAGTTTCCCTTTTGTATGGGGTGAAATTAACATCAGAAAATACATATTTACTGAAGTTATAACCTGCTGTATCCAAGAGCACTGCTAAAGCAGCAGTTGTAATTGTAAGCGGTTTCAAACGGTCCTGTTCACAGTGTACTTTTTGAATGCATACCATAAAGCTGGATTCCTGGGTGTGTAAGATCACTCGTTATTAAAGAGCAGTCTGAAATAAATATCTCAAATTAAGCTGGTCTTGTAACTTTCCTTTGATGTGGAAACATGCCTAGTTGGATGGAAATATCTCATTTGATGCATTTCTCTAGATAAGAATGGAAAGGTTGATATTGTGACCGTTCCTGCAATGTACACTTCCAGTCAGTGCCGCTGTAATTGTGCAGGAAGAGAACAGGACCTCAAGGGACTTCTGCTAGGCCACAGCTGTCAAGTGCCTGGGCATCTAAATGATCCTGTAAGCACCCATGCCTCGGAGCTAGATCCTTGCAGTCCTAACCCTCGGTCTCTGATCTGTGCAGGCTCAGTTTTTTCGTAGTGATATTTACTGAATGCATTGAGGTCTGATGCTTGATGTGCCTCTAGTGTTTGTAGTGTTGGTTAGTTAGGTGACCAAGCTGTCCAGGAATGCAGAAGCAAAGTGTTCCTTGACAAGTTGCTCTTGGAGAGCCCAAGAGTCTTTAGATTACATATAGATGATCGGGACCACTTAAAAAACATACAAGGGAATACATTGCCAGGCCTTTTTTTCCCCTCCTTCTTATTCTTTCTAGGTTTTGTGTATAGCTGTTAGACAGATGTGAAGAGTCAAGTTCTGAATTTGCCTCTTTCATTTCTCAAGAGAGTGCTGTTCTGGGCTGGTGGTCTCTGGCTCCTTACTTATGAAACTTTTTTTGCCTTGCTTTTGATACAGAAATATTCATTAGGTGAGCTGTGATTTTACAAGTCGGTGGCTAGGGAATGAATCCAGAAGTGAGGAGGTTTGATTTCTAGTCCTTTTTCCAACTGTATGTTAAATATTAAAATATATATTTCCAGAATACATGTGGTTAAGCAATATTTAATTTCAAGAACAATATATTTATTACTAAAGTTTCCCTTGATTCTTGCAAATATTTATAAAAATGACACCTACTACAAAGGGTATGTTGGACTCCACAGCCCTTCCCTGCATTTAGTTTGGATGATGGATCCCCAAGTGATTAATTCCTCTTTCTTCCTATGCTATGGAAAGAATAAATGTGGACAGGATTGTTCAGTCAGTCATGTGTGTGTGTAGACTATTAATTTACAGTGTTGGGAAAAACACAGTGCCAGTTAGGCACTGGCCTTTTTTTCTTTGTCCTAATCATTAGGCTTGGTCGTTTTACTTGCTAGTTCTGCCATTTGTTTAGTGTCAGCTGTTTTGCTTTTCACTTAGCCTCTGTTCATCGTACTCCTAGGTGGTTTACTCTCACTTGTATGTTACACTAAATGCACTCCCCAGGGTTGTGGGTTGGCTGTGAAAAGGGCAGTCCTGCTCTGGCCCTTTGTTTTCCACACTGCATTCTGACCCCACCTTGTGCAGTCAACTACAGGGAGAGTTGGAAAACTGCTTTTTTTTTTTTGAAAGAAAAAAAAAAAGTTGCTTATTCTGGTCATTTAATTTTGTATCTCATCAGTGAGCTGGGCCAACTCACTGTGCAGCTGCATGTTTACTGGATCCTACAGGAATGGCTGTTGGCAAGGGAGAGCCGAACTGCCCCTCTGGTAGCAGCCAGCCCTTTAAGCAAGTTCAGAACAGGCAGATGCAGCCCCCACGTGTGGTGGGCAGAGCCAGAGGATCTGCCTTAGAAAGGACAGCCTCAACTAGGAAGACAGACTTTGGCTAGCTTAGGCCTCCTGTCTTGCTGTGAATCCTTCTTGCTGTGGCTTATACCAGAAGTACCCTTTGACTTTGGTGGAATATTTATTGAACTTGTTTGCTTGATTAAGGTGTTATTTATTTCATTTAGTGAATTTTATGTGAAGCATATTGCTCCCCTCTTCAGACTCTAGTTTTATGAAAGAATTGCTTTGTTTACTCTGAATTGCTATCTCCCTAGATACCTTAAATCTGGTAAATATTCTAACTGTAATCTAAGTAGGACAACACCCAATCTCTGTCAGCAGAGAATTTAAGATCTCATCTCTTAAAAGTGAAAGACAAAGCATGCTCTGACTTTCAGTAGGACAGGCTTTGTTTGAGTTAAGCCGTGTTGTCATTCCAGTTAGTAATGCGATTCAGGCTCAATCAGAAAGACTGCTTATGCTGAGAAAAATTAGGCTGATAGTGTTTTGCAGCCAGGATGAATCTTCCAACCTAAACCAAGGAGCCTCATGTGGGAAGAGGTTCAAAACCTTGATTTGGTTGAGCTCATCTGTGTTGCATCATATCCCTTACTAATCTCAATACATCAAACCATGCAGAATTAGTGAGGATGCTTCTCTTAAGCTTAGCACGAGTATTTGTTTGCCTGTCATTGCAGATGAAGTTTACCCTAATTCAGTGCCAAAAAAAAAATTATGTCGGCAATCTGATGCTTATCTTTCCTGTAAATTGTACCCTGGTGATTTTGTTTTGAAACTTTGTTTTTCAGTGATCTAATAGCCACACTTAACTGGAGAGAACAGATAATTAGATCCTAAATGAAGGCCTTTGATGTTTGGGGGGTTCTTGTGATCATTGCAATGAGTTTTAGATTTGGCCTGAAGGGCAAGTTCAGGAGATGCTCCTTTGGCAGTTAAACCAGCTTTGAATTCCAAAAAAGCATCATGTCCCAGTGACCTCAAAACCTATGAGGCACTCGGTTGATTTAGCATCTGTGCTTTGGAGCCTGGATGTGAGCTGGTGCAGTGTGCTGCAGCCTGGGAAGGGGGTACCGTGCTCCCTGCCCAGCTCCCCAGGGCACCTTGTTGGGCCCCAGAACGGTGGAACAGCCTCATCAGTACGGTGTGCTCGGGATACATTAATGCACATCTGAACCATGGAGAGCTAGATGGTTGCTTGGCTTTTGTGTGACAGCCTCATCATCAGAGCTGTGGGAGGGTCCCTTCTGCCTGCAGGAATGCAAGCCCGCGCTCCCACAGAGTTCTCATGCCTCTGCGCTGAGGGGCTGCATGTGGCTTTGTCCACCCTGCTTGTTGAAGGTGGGTCAGGTGGTTAACGTGGCCAGAAATGGCCCAGCCCTTGACCAGGGCTTGGCAGGGGCTAGAGGGGGCAGATAAAAAGGGGGCTAAGGATGAGTTCTCGTTACAAAGTTCAGACATTCAGTCTGCTATGTGTGTATGTCTTCCAGTGAGGAAAGTGCCTGCCATGCAGAGAGAGGACAGTTAGCCAGAATGAGGTTTGAAAGTTGCTTGAGCTAGCAGTGCCTTTGTGGTTAGTGGTGAACTGATACAAAAAACAAGTTGTGTTTCCTGTTTCTGAGAGAAATTGTGTTGTTTAGCACTCCTAAGTGACAACAAAACATTCTCAAGACCAGTTTCATTTTGCAGTAGAGGAAAATTCTAAAACTTTTAATTCTGGATTGGATTTATTAGGGCTTTTTTCTCCACGATTTACTTTTGCAAAAGGGGATTGTTGGCCTCTGGATTGGGAACTCTCTGTGAGTTTCCTGTTCAGGTTCTCTGTCTGCTCAGCAGTGAACTGAGTAGCTAAAAATTGTCTTCCATGAAGTCTTGATTAAACACAGACCATCTCCCTGAATTATCCTTTCGTTCAGTTCAGTGGTATGTGTACTTCCAGATCTGGTTTCACCAATGTGTGAAGTCATGGGTTCAAAATCTCTTGTGAAGAGTGTTGATTTAAACTCAATAGGATTAAAAAAACCCCTTACATTCTGTAAGGGTTACATGCTGTAGCTGTTGTTCACTGTGTTCTTAAGCAAATCTGTGCAAATGGAAAAAAAGGAATGGTGGCTTCATGCTGCCAACTTCTGTTCTCATGACCTCTGTCTTTTCAGGAGGGAGCAGAGTCCTACCACCATCTCCCACAGTTGTAGCAGCATTCGGCCAGTAATGATTGGGATGTCAGATACTGCCATTAAATTGAGACTGTTCTGATTTCTGTTGGTTTCTCCCAATGTTTATACAAACTCCTTTAAAAATGCTTCTTTTATGCAGTGCCTGGTTACCACTTATCTGCCTGGGCAGCTGCCAGCTACTCCAGAGAGTACAGCTCTCCAAGAGGCACTGGTGGGGCTGGTAAAAGTGGTTCTGTGTCCCTGGTCTGGGCAGATTTAATGCAAAAAGTAATAAATAGTGGTACC